ACACCACCATAAATGGATTTAGTCCTATTCCCTCCTGCCTGATCTTCCGTTCTTAAATGAAGATCTTTCTTGTCACATCTTTTCCTCCCATAACTTAAAAACAAGACAGAGTCCTCTGAAAGGAGGACTAGAGTCCTCCTCCTTATGAAGAAATAAAATGTAAGAAATACACTTTTGTAGAAGGTAAGCTCTTTGGTCAAGGATTGTGTCTTTTTTGCCCAGTGCCGAGCTAAACCTACTGTCCTCACTAAACAAACACTACATGACAAATGGAATTTGACAACATAGGTAAAACATTTCGCATGTGCCTGGACAAGGCATTAATGCAAAATGAATTTTTTCTGGCATCACCTAATATAGGACCCCTTCAAGAGATGTACTAAGATATCTCTGTTGCCATAGAGCAGATGCAAGGTCTGAAACAAAAAATTTTGAGAGTGAACTGGAATTATTTCTGTGTCAGGTCCAGTAAATATTTAGCTTGAAGATAAAGTTCAGTATTAGATCCCTCCCTTTTCTAAAAGCCTCATTTCATATTATCACCATAAGGAGAGAGAGACCCATGACATGAAAAGAGTGCTCCAAAAGGATGCCTCAACTTTGCCCTACATGTACTACACACGTGGCCAAACAGGACCTCTGTGACACAGGCCTGGAAGAGGTGCTAGAGAAGCTTAAAATGAAAAGCACTTTCTGTTAGGTCTTTACAGGAAGGGACGGAAACTGCCTCACCTCTCCATTCCCCCTTCTCCTGTGATAGCACCAGTCCTGGTTTGTCCTCCCCTTCTTCCTGCCCAGGAACCTGTCCACCTTCCCCAGACCCTCAGCAAGGTGTTACCTGCCACATCTCAGAAATGCCTTGCAATAAATTATTTCTTTAGGAAGAGCTACACGTTTTCATGTTTGTTTTCAGTCCACTTCAGAATGAAAACGAGTGCTTTCAAACATTTTACCGAGTAGAGATTGTGTCTCTTCCTCATGTTGGAAAATTTTAATTTTGGAAATTCTATTTTTCCAAATTTAGTTTAGAATTTTATATCACTTTGTATCCTGTTTTCTGTAATAGTGGTTCATCATATTTAGACAAATATCAGCACATCAAATAAAACAGCGGAAATAATAGTTAATTATTTGTATTTTAAAAACTATTCTGACAGTGACTAGGTAGTACTGATCAAACTATATCATATCCTTTACTAGAAGACAGTATCTCCTAGGCATGCTGGTAATGCAACAGCTTGATACAATTGCACATGGTGTCAATAACAGAGATACACAGTGATGGGAAGTGATGTAGAATCATAAAAATAAATACAGCTCTGAAACAAACTTTGAAAAGTTTTTCAATTCACAGTTATTTTCCTCATGGGAAATTATGTCAAAATAAATATATTTTTCATTCTCAGTGTCTGCGGTCATACAAGATTTCCTATCAGAGCTGAATGGGAGTCCCAAAGTCAGCCAAGCTTTACGTCGGCAGAGCCACTCGTGGGCTGCAGGCCAGGCACTGACCCCCTCCCAGCCAGGCTTCTCTGTTTGGAGCTGCTTGCTCCTGCTGAGCTCTGCCCAGAGCTCAGCTGCTCAAAAACCAATTGTCCTGGAGAGCAGGCAGCCTCCAGCAATGACAAGGAAAATCCAAGGCAGTTCACTTTCCTCCAAACCTAACCTCAATTGCTATCTTTCCTCTTCCTCTCACAGTGTCCCTAGGCTTGGCTTAAGGTGGCTAAGTTGCAGGAGTGTCTGGGACTCTAACCATGAACTGGAAACACTCCCTGGGGCACACCTAGCAGTCAGGTTATTAGTACAGCTGAATCTTCTGTGTTCTCTATTGCTGTTCATTTCATAGATGATACTCGATCATCCTCATTCTTTTGTTTTGGCCTGAAGCTCCAGTGCTGAGTTTAGCTGCCATGGGGGTCAAGCAAATGAGCAGATATTCCAAGTTTATTAGCCATTGTCACAGCCTGATCCTTATTTTTTCCCACATGCTCTGTGAACCTAAAGTCTCCCCATTCTTCTTTGCTTAGGCAATGTTACTTGCAGGTTAAACCTCAGCATGAAAGATCTCAGTCAGAAATCTTTTCCACAAAAACACTTCTCCTACTTACCTAAAACATGTAGTTCCCCACTTCAGCTTGAACAGCCTCACTAAGTTTTAGTCATTTAGGAACTGGTTTCCTCTAACAATTTTTGCACAAGTATCTGACATGGCATCACATATTGTTTTATGAAGCTGAGTTTTAATTACATCCCTGTTCCTTGTGTAAAGAACATAAAACTATAAGAAGTTGATTCTTATCTCCAAGAATTTCAGAGCACGCTACTTGTCCAGTTAAACTCTATCTATCCTGAAAAAAAACCTCATAATTTTTATTGTATCCTTGCTCATAAGAAAACAGCCATGTCTTGCTGCGGAGAATGAGTAAAATGTTACTGGTTCTGATGGGAGGAATCCTGATCCCAGTTTCAGCAATTTACACCTGAGGTAATCCATTCTCTCCCATAAGAGTCATTCGAGACCTAGGCTAGGGATATAATGTCAAGTCTAGCCCAGCTTCGTTTTTGGAATGGAAATTAGACCTTTCCATGAGCCTTGCTGTCCCCCTAGGAAGTGAGAGTGTACGGGTGTTCCCCACAGAAGAACCTCGTCTGTTTTGAGGCAGCACAGGCCTAAAGACGTCTCCAGGCACAAAGGCTCCTAAACTTCATCCCTGGCATTTACTCCAGTGAAATGTTTGCAAAGAGGAATCGTAACCCCATTGACTTCTGGGCTGCAAGACTAAAGAATTAGGGGAAAAAAAAGAAAAAAAAAACCCTCTCTTAGCTTCCTCTTATAGAAGTTCCTCATTCCCTGATCAGCCCAGTCTCCCTTAGCCTTCTCTAAACTTCTTCCTGCTTGAATTCACTGGTTTTGAACTGATGATCAAAGCACATAAAACGTGAAAAATAAATGATCTTTCCCTGTAAAGTATGCTCCTTTATATCCAGGAAGTTCTGAGTCTCTGAGACTCTCAGACGCTCAGTTGAAAAGGGACTGAACACTGCTCCACTGAAGCCCAGATACATGGCTGGGCAAAACACAAAATTTTCCTACAGCAACATAGTCTTTTTGATAATCAGAACAACTGTTGCTATACAAGCAGAGGTGCCCTGGATGGACAGTGGCTCACAGACAAGCACAGCGTATCTTTTCTCCAGAGCCAAGATGGAGAAAGAGACCTCAAGCTGGCAGAGATTCTTCTTTGTGAGAAGACACAACCTCTTCTTGGGGGACTGTCAGAACAGCAAACAGATGTCCCTGTCCTCACTCCAGGGCACACAGTCTGCCCCGCACCAGGAAGGGGAAACAGCAGCACAGTTGCAGACATAAACCCTTGGGAAAAAACTGTCCAGTCTTCTGAGCTCAGATAGGTTGGGGGAAAAAAAATTAATGTCAAAATATGAGTAGGCACTAACCTCTGTGTTCATCTTATACAGGGAGAAACAACAAGAGTTCTGGAGAGGCAAGGTCAAAGACTTTCCCTTTTAACACAGAAGCTGCTGACATGGATCCCTGATAAGAGATCAGGGCACCTTAATAGCACCTTGGGCCTGGAGATGAAGTGCAAAAATACTAGACTCAGTTCAGTTACCCCTGCTGCAAAGCCCTAATACGGACCACGATCCCCGCTACGGAGCTGCGGGAAGCTGGCCCACTTTAAGGATACACTCCACTTGGATGTCTTTGTCCCTTCTGTGTCCCTCTCAGGACTCAGTGGGCTGTCCTGCGAGGCAGTGTGCAGGAGGGACAGAATAACCAGCACTGGTGGGCAGAGCAGTGAAAGCAATCAGTGTTGGCAGAATATATATAATATAAATACACACACACACACACACACTCTCTCAGGGCTAAATGAATGGACAAGTAAAGGCCATATAGACAGACTTCTGTGTGAGGCTTCAGCAGGTGGATCTCCTGTCTTTAGCCTCTTTCTTCTTCATATAAACAAAAATCTGTTGATGACACCAGCTCTCTGCCCCAATGAGAAAAACCACAGGAGAGCTCTGAGGCAGCGCACAGAAATCATGCTGAAACCTTTGGGAGGGAGCAGGAGAGCCAATTATGCAGACCAGCCAAACGGACAAGGTGTCTGAGGCAGCTGAGCCCCAAACTCAGCATGTATATCCCTGCATTGCAGGGCTTTTGCACGAGATGCCATTCTCTCTTGAAGCAGCACCCAGCTGACCTCTCTTCTGTCCCCAGGGAGCTCCCCCAGCCTACCTGCAGTAGCTTCCCCACAGAAAGGAGGCTAATATGCGCCAAGCGTCCTTCTCTGCAAGGATTCCTGC